CAAACCCAGTCATGAGAACGTAGGGTGTCGAGGCAAGATGAGGTTGCACATACCCACCTTATGTCCCAGGCTGAGAACCCAGAGGCCCTGGCATCCCGAGGGCCCCAGCAATGGCAGCAGCACCTCCATGCCAGGGATCTCATGCTCGTGTGTGCTGGGGATCCCTGTAGTTCTTGAGGAATGATGAGTGGGAACACCATGAAATAATGATACTGGAAACTTAAAATAACTAAACCTTGCACCCTGCACTGCAGCCGACCCCAAATTAGGTGAGATTCTAGTATAGACGGCACAGCAGGCACAGAAGGGTGTGGTGGAAAAACACTGAAAAAAATCAGTGTGTTCAGCATACCATTTTGACAGTTGGGGAAAGAACTTTTGTTGGGTTTGGAAGGCACAGTGCCTACCTGCAGCTACCTAAGGACCAGTGCCTTCCTTCAGCCCTGGGGGCCTTACCCTAGCACTGCCCTGCCCTGCCCGCCCCGCCCCAGTCAGATCTGTGTGTCTGAAAGAATTCTCACTTCACCCCAGGCAGCTCTTGGGGCAGGCACTGACCAGGAGGAGCAGAGCTCTGCTGCCTCCTAACTTTGTGGCCTAGGCCTAAGGCAAATGAATTGTCTTTTGGAAGCCTCAGTTGTTCTCATCTATAAAATGGGTAAGAAATACCTCTTTTGAATGCTGGTGTGAATGTTTCTGAGGCAGTGTGCATAAAGTCCAAAACCTGGCCTGTAGCATGTGCTCTGTTAATGTTAGTCTAACTTATTTTATAGGAGCAGGTCTGACTGGCTTGTGTGGGCTGGACTGGGCATGTGGAGGAGACACACCCTTAAGAGCCTCCAGATACTGCCTTAGACTGACCTTTGACCTACCCCAGTGGTTCTCCAAGTCTTCCCACAGGTGATCCCATGACCCTTCTGTCTCCACCCGTTGTCCTTTCCCACCCCGAGCCCCAGAGGAGACAGTCCCAATATGAGCCCCTCAAATAGTCTTCCAGCTGCAGTGGGACTGCAGTTTGGGACCTGATCTAACCACATTTGAGGAGGTTCATTTCCCAGCTGGAGAAAGTCCAGTTTCTGTTGTGGGCTCCCTCAGGGACCCTGGAATCCAGCCCCTCGCTGCACAGTGGGGGAAACAGACCAGAGAGAACAGGCATTGCCTGAGGTTACACAGTAGAGTAGATGGCATGGGACATGAGTGAGGGTATGATGCTGGCAGTGCAGGTCTAATGGGGGTGGCAGGCAGCTCCAGAGCTCTGGAATTGGGATGATTCAGGCCCCTGTGGGGTCTGAGCATTGTACCCCAGACACAGCTTTCCTTTACCTGCCCACCTGCCTGCCTTCAGTGTTTATTTCCTTTGTATTGGTTCAGTTCTTAAACTCTTGCCCTTGTAGGAAGACCTTCAGGGGACAAGGATCCAAAATAAAACACTGATTAAAATGCATAAAACACTTCTTCTTGGCAACTGCAGTAGCAATCTGTGGGATTAACGGTGCCAAGACGGCAGGAGCAGCTCATTGCCCACTCAGCAGTTTTGGTGGCCCTTCAGACACAACCCTGCCAGCATCCCTAGGTGACAGGGACCCCATGGGTGTGTCAGGAGACTAGGTCCAGCATGCTGTGCGTGCTGAGGCAGGCACCTTAGCCTCTTCAGGCCTCAGTTTCCCCACCTTTTAGGACAGCCACATGTAAAAGGTGAGGATGAGGCAGTTCAGAGGATGTGCCCTTCTGGGGCTATCCTGGTCCTGTGGAGCATGGCCTATTGCTTTGTGGGTCTAACTGCCAGGCATGAGGGTGGCAGCCACACAGGGCAATGCCAACCAGCTTTTCCATCGATATATTTGAATTCCTCAGGTCTCTTATTGCTCAGCTGCCTGCTCCATCAGAGAGTCTTCAACCCTGCAAACACTTAGGCACACATTCTTTCTTTCAAAGAATGTTCACTGGGGTCTGTATGTACCACTCTTTGGTCTGAGGCTGCACCACACTGTCAGCCCTTAGGCACCTCACTCTCTTGCAGGCGAGATGTACCCATGACTGTTTGACCTTTGACCTATGATTAAATATACAGAACAGGTGAAGGGCCAAGTGCTGAGGTTTTGGAGCATATTGCCCTCTTTGTTTAGGTCACCAGGAAGCTCTTACCTTTAGTCATTATTCAGGATTTTGTGGCGCTCTTTCCTGACTGGCTTCTTTAGTTTCATCTTTTTATCATCTTGTACCATAACTTTTCTGTTAATTAGCTCAAGTCATTTAAAATATGATGTGTGCTATACATGTTAAAAGATTTCACTACTAATAAATGTAAGGTGCTTCAGTGTTGTGGGGTAGAGATGATTCCTGACTGAGTAGGTCACTAAAATGGCTTCACGGAGGATGTGGCCTTTGGGGTTGAAGGTTACAAAGGCTTTTGGGGCAGGAAGCTGGGTGAGTTCTCCAAAAAGAGATGGCTTCAAGGC